CCCCCCCCCCCCACACACACACTTATTTTCAGGCGGATAGATTTCGTGCCTGAGCATTCTCACATGACGGTGGGTCTTTCCCCCCCCCCAAAAAAAACAGTTAAATAAAGAAAAAACAATACATCCTCATGCAAGAACTTTTCTGCTTCCGATTATCCCCATGCTTACAAGTTGCAAAGGAAACACGGAAGCAGGGAAGCGGCTGCCCAGCTCCGGAGCTCCACACCATTTTTTTTTTTCAGAGGGAACCTCACTTGAGTATAAGCCGAGGGGGGGGTTTTCAGCACAAAAAATGTGCTGAAAAACTCAGCTTATACTCGAGTCAATAAGTTTTCCCAGTTTTTTGTGGCAAAATTAGGTGCCTCGGCTTATATTCGGGTCGACTTATACTCGAGTATATACGGTATTTAGAAGTCTTTCATTGTTTTTGAACATCATCAAACTTAGCAAACAAACTTACCAATTTAGCAAAAAATAAACTTTTATTAATTGTAACAAATCCTGAATATATAGGGCAAGGAACAAAAGAGAGGGGGAGGGAAAGAGAGATTAATATTATAATCTATATCTTTATGTAATTATCTAATCTTTCTAAACAATCTAAGTCATTAAGTTAGACAATGTTTTCATGCTTTTTCTTTAAGTGATCTTAGTAATGCAATATGGGGAGAGTATATATTTAAATCAATAAGCAAATGAGGTTTAAGTGAAGTGTAAAAAGAAAAAAATTATTTCTTTGAGGAGCTTAACATTCTAAAATTGAGAAGTTTCTTTTTTAATGCTCGCTGCTTCTCTTTTTTTCCCCTCAGATCATGTATGGACTGAAGTTTATTCTGTGTCACAGCAAAGATGGCTTCATTGCGACTCATGTGAAAATGTCTGTGATAAACCCCTTTTGTATGAAATTGGATGGGGGAAAAAATTGTCCTATATTATTGCCTTTTCGAAAGAGGAGGTAGGTGAACAATGTTTACTGAATTAACCAGACCTGCCAATAACTCTAGCTATAGCATTGGTTCTGATAAAGCAGTTGTATAGCTGCACAACAAGGAGGATATTGTTTCTTCATTGGAATAGTTTTAATCTTAACATGCTAGAAATTCAATCTATGTTCTCTCTATAATATTGTATAAGGTATTTTCATAATTTGTGCTTTTCAGGTTGTTGATGTCACCTGGCGTTACTCTTGTAAACATGAAGAATTGCTTTCTAGAAGGACACAGGTCAAAGAAACAGTGCTACAAGAAACAATCAATAATCTTAACAAAATTGTATGTAGCTTTAACTTAATTACCTATTAAATTTACAGAAAAGTTGGATTCAAACAAGTCTTGAATCAAAGATTGAAAATTTAACCTGTAGCTGTTTAGTTGAGAGGAGATAACAGACTTATCACTCTAGATTCATATGCTATTTCTGTATGGAAGATTAGCTGCATGTAAATTATAAGTGATGGCAAGAAAAAACAGTGATGGCAAGAAAAAACCACTTCACAGTGCTTTACAGTCCTTTCTAAATAGTTTACAGAATCAGCATATTTTCCCCAACAATCTGGGTCCCCATAATGATGATTTCCTCCTCCCTGAAATGTTCAGTTATTAAACTTATGACAAATAGTATGTTCTGTGTGTAGATAGAAAAGTTGAAGGCTCATGTGATTTAAATTGATTCATCAATCTAATTTAGTGTAGACTTTAATGCTTAATAGGACAAAACACCTGTCATTAGGAATTTAAACTTTTTAACCAAACTATCAAATATTGTCTTATTCACAACATTCTTATATTCCAAGGACGGACAGTCATATAGGTAATCATATACTTAGGACCATTTGTTCAGTAATCATTCAAAGTTGTGGTGGTGTTGAACAAAGGGACTTACAGCCAGTGTCTGACCTTACTGCTATTGCAGTGCTCTTGGTCACGTGATCAAAATTTGGGCATTTGGCACTTCAGCTCCTTCCCATCTATGCTTATTTAGACTCCTGCACTACTCCCTTAGCTAATCTTTGCTGTCTACTTGCTCCCACTGCTAACCAAGCATGCCCTTCGAAACACTGTTGCTCGCTGCACAATGATTTGCAAGGCAATTTTCCTACAAGACATGCTGAAGATGAAGGGCCTTAATGGCAGCAGGAACAAGAAAATAATGAAGGTCAACTAGGCAGCAAAATGCAGAAAACTTGCTGCCTTGAAATACAGAGCGACCAAAAGATCAAAAGGGCAGAGATACGGAGAATAGGCAATTGTGGAGATATGAAGTGGAGGCAGTCCCTGATTTGGAGGAACCAAAAGAGAGAGGGACTAAGACTGGAATGGCTTAGTTTGGAAAGGGTCTTTGCCTAACTGGTGAAATTTGCTTAACGATGGCATCGATGAATGTCATGATTACCATTCCTAAGAGATGTGATCACATAACACCACATTTTATGACCATTAGTCAATAACAGAAATTCTAGTCCCAATTGTGATTGTAAGTCAATTGTACAGAATAATATTTTTAATCCATCAAACATGCTTTTAAAATGTTTTTTCTTCATTACAATATAGAACTAATCCAGCTTCAGAACAAAATTGTCAAATAGCATAAACCCAATTTAATGTTAAAACTTTTTAAAACAGTTAGATATAATGAATTTCTGTACGTTATAACCCCAACCATAAATGACACTTATACAGAAATATTGTAAATCCTAAATAATTCAATGGGATCTTTTTAAATAAACAAATGTAGGGATTCACCAGTACGGGTAGTCCTGGTGAATCTCCATTACGAATGTAATGGAGCTTGCCTATTACATTCAAAATCAGAGGATTTCTAGGAGTGAATCATGTAACTTGACTGTGATCACTCCCTGTTTTTCACCCATGCATTTTCTAATTGAATGCATGGATTGTTAAGTGTATATGTGATATCTCAGGGTGGGGAAGGCCATGGAGGTTTATTGATGTAACAGGCCACCTACTTCAGAACACCCAAGGATACCTCTCCCGGCCCCTCATGCTTCCTCCCCTGAGGTCCCCACAATTGCTCTCCCCCCATCCTGCCACGCCAGGTTATTCACCTTATGAAGATCTGTCTCCTCTCCAGAAACTCTGCTGTGGTTGGCACAGCAGTCTTGCAGTCTTGGCACGAAGAGCATTTGTAAAACTATGAGACTTGGGGGCAGTGAAATTCCTTGCTTCAAGCCTCCTATTGACTTGTGCTGAGACTGGATGGTGCAAAAGGCCTTTGCAAGTCTCATCGTCTTGCTTGAAGCCTCCCATAGGCTTGTAAACGCTTTTTGCACCGAGACTGGAATGGTGAAATGGTGTTTGCAAACCAATGGGAGGCTTGAAGCAAGGTGATTTTGCTGCCCCAAAGTCCTGCCGACTTAGAAGTGCTCTTCAGCTGGATCTGCTACAGGCCTTGGTTTGCAGAGAATAGAGGCCAAAAGTACTTTAGTGCAAGATCACACGAAATCAGTAGCATAAGATTTCACGCTACTGATCTCGTACTTTAGTCCTCTGTTCTCTATGATCTGAGGCCTGCACAAGATCTGGGGCAAAAAGCTTTGCAAATGAAGAAGCTTCCTTCTGTTTGCCAAACATTTTGCCCCAGATCTGATGCTGCAAGATCACACGAGATCAGTAGCACGAGATTTCATGCTACTGATTTTGCATGATCTGTCACTACTTTAGGTTTCTGTTTTCTGCAAATGCACCAAAGCAGGCAAAGGTACTTACAGCTCACTAGATTGTTACAAGGTAAATCTCAACGGGGTGGGGTGGGGTAATAGGCAGAAGTGGTGCTACAACATTCATAACTTCGAGACTGGATCATAAGTACTGGGGAGGGACTACGTCATAACTTCTAACATGGTGGTTAAGTGAACTGCCGTAATTTGAGGATTACCTGTAGTCATGGTTTCAAAAGAATTAACTTAAAACCAGAATTTGGACTGGGATTTCACTTAAAGTTTTTCAGTCTTATGTGGAGGAATTGTGTGCCTGGACTCAATTTTACAACCGTTTTTTACAACAATTCTTAAGTGAGGCACTGCAGTCATTTAGCAAATTATGTAGTGATTAAGCAGATTATAGGTTCGTTAAGTGACTCCATTATCCTAAGGGGGCATTTTTGTCTGGAAATAATAGTCAGAAAAAAATCACATACCGGAAAACATCCCAAAATGTTCCAAATGACAGTCACCATGGAACACTACAAGCGTTGTCAGTGCAGGCATGTTGTCAAGTGCTTGGAATACAATTATATTACTGCAGGAGGAAGGTTTGGTGGCAATCATAATATAAGGTTGAATCATAAGTAGCTTTTTAAAGTCAGCTGTAATTTTGAACAGTGTTCAAATGACAGGTCATACATTGACAACTACACCTGTAAATGAAACTGTCAGTTTATCTGATTCTACAATGTGATTTAAACCACTGTTTACATTTTTCATATTTTTTTATCTTCACATTTTAACTGCTTTAATATTAATGCTAATTAAAATATTGTTGTATATTCTGTGTGAATGATTCAATAGCATACAAATTTAATAAATAAATTTGATACAAATTGCAGCTGATATATATGATTAGATAAAATAAATTATCATAAATTATTTTTATATTATTATTTGTTACAATAAAATTCAGATTCTAATCCTTCAGTTTCCTGAGAATATTTGCCTCTTGAGTACATAGGTATAAGATCCTGGTGTAATTTTATTGTTGTCATTTATTCTAGAGGCAGCAAATACTGAGTGAAGCAAGAAAAAATGAGCTCTTACAGAGACTCATTGTAGAGCTTGTTGAGTTTATTTGTCCAAAAACACCAAAGCCAGGAGAACTTGGTGGAAGAGTGTCTGGATCATTGGCTTGGAGAGTTGCCAGAGATGAAAGTGCTTTAGAGGTATTTATAGCATCTTGTAGCAATTTTTAGAATTCTTAGTGTAAGCCCTAATTGTGACTTGTTGGTTTGGTGTGTGTTCAAATGAAATTATTGTGCTGTCCAGCCAGTTACAGTTAATAGGGAATTGATATAATTAATTAGAAATTGGGAGCTGTCCCCTTAAGGGAATGCATCCTGGTAAATGTAGTTAAGGTATCCTGGGAAATTTAGTCCATGTCATGTGGCCATATCTATAATCCTGATTGGTCACTGAATTGACCCGTGGTGGGTTGGGGGAGGTTCCTTCACTCTTGCCTGAACCCAGCATCATGTTGCTGCTCCACCCTCTTGCTCCACCATTATCAGAATGAAAAATTACTAACCTTTTACACCAGAAAGTCAGCTATGCAAAGAGTTGGACATTGAGATGAATCTCAATGTAACTGTGAGTTATCTTGAGGATGTCTGATGAACCAATAAAAAGACTTTGTATGGATGCGTTGTCGAGTTAATCTAACTGCCTTTATACATTCAGTCAGTAATTATAGAGGACAGAATAATTATGCTTATATTTGTTGGTTTTATTTACTTGCCAAAGATTTCTCCTATTTATTTCATCCCAAAATTGTAGTGTAGTTTTTCAATTTGTTTTACTCTCACCTAGAGCAAAGAAACAGAGAACAGAGAAAAGGAGACTTATTTTATTATTTTGATTAGATTCGACTTCCTATTAATAGAACACTAAAATTACAAGCAAATAAAATACAAAGCATTTTTAAAAATAATATTAACATCGATACTGTCAGTACAATCATGCTTCTAGGTATGTTAGCAAAATGTAGTTCATCTGTTAATATCAACGAACTTACCCCTCATTTCCCAAATTAATATGAAAATCTGAATTGCCTTTCTATTTTTACATTTTTAAAAAATTTTGTTATCTACCAATCTCATGAAAAAAATATTTGAGAAAGGCATACAAAATGCATGCAGTCTTTAAATTTATTCCTTTTTCTGTTTCTACATTTTGACTTTCTTTTTGTAAAATAAATAATAACATGATATAATATGTCATGTGTGTTGTTCGTCTGAGGTTGCATTTACTTACTTTTAAGTACTGCTGAAGACCAGATGATTTTTACTATATCCTGATACATAAAACCATGGAATTCATTTTCACTTGACTATATATTATATAAAATGTTTCTATCAGATACACATTTTTCATTAGTGATGTTTATTAAATGTCTGACAAGAAACTAACTTCAGTTTTGGGTTTGATTATTTAGACTAAAGAAGTAGTATTTATTCCAACTGTAAAAGAGAAAGCCTCCAAGCTTTTTCATCTCAGTTATAATATAGTGCAAGATTGTTACATGCGAATATCAAATAATAATGAAAAAATCAATGGTTGGGAGAATGGAGTTTGGAAAATGGACTCTTTATGGAGAAAGATCGAATCAGATTGGGAAATGGTAAGTAGAAAAAAAATATTCTAAAATAAGGCTGCACATGACTCGGATTTAAAGGGAAGAGATGTTTGGCATACGCATGTAGGGATGCTCAGATGGCACAGTTAGCAACTTCTTAGAACAGTTGAATCTTTCTGGGTATCTAGCGGATGTCTTCTACAGATGCAATATGACTTAATATAATATTTGTTTTGGGAAACTGTTGATAAGCATGTTCCAAAGCACTTTTATCCCTTCAAATCCTAAACACTGCATGCCTTATTGTAAAACATTTCTTCATCAAAGTAGCTTACATGACCTCCCTCTGAACTGGTATAACTATTACTCCTGTTAGAAGTTTGGCTATCTAGAAAAATTTTTAAAAAAATTCTAGAGTGAGGATATTTATCTTACTACTATCTTATTCAACATAAGAACTGCACAAAATTTTCTTACGCTAAATTTTACTTAATCATGAGCAAAAAAATACAGCACACCAATCTTCATACATTTAAGATTCAACCTGTTTTTAATTTCGTGAAGAAATTAAAGAACTGATGACATGTCAAAATAGAACATAGAAAAAGAGCTGATACATTAAACACAAATAAAACATTTTCAAAAGTCAGCATAAGTACCAGTAGCAAAAGATAATGGAAATAGACAGCCTGACCTAACATTTGTCTGTGTATGCACATAGCTCCATTTAGCTTAGAAAGTCATTCAGGTAATCCTTGCTTAGTGACTGCATCATTCAGCAACTGTTTGAAGTTATAACAATACTGAATTTTTTTTATAAACAATGCTCATATTTATAACCCTTGCAGCATTCCTCAGACATGTGATCACTATTACATGATAGTGATATAATCACTACATTCAATACAGTGGAATCTCTGGTGACGAATGATTCTGACCACAACCAAATCGAGTTCCGAACAAAAAATCCACAACATTTTTGAATCGGGTCAGGATGCTTCTCACTTGGCCGCTTTCCCTCTTCTCCCTGCTCCTTCTCCTTCTTCAGACAAAAGCTGCGCTTTTCGTCTGTCCATTGCAGTGCAGTGCCCGGGATTTGCTTTGACAGTGATGGGCAGTGGTGGGATTCAGCCAGTTCACACCAGTTCGGGAGAACCGGTTGTTAACTTTCTGAGCAGTTTGGTGAACTAACTTGGTTGTTGGAAGAAATCATTAGGGCAGAGAACCGGTTGTTAAATTATTGGATTCCCACCACTGGCGATGGCCAATGCCCATCAATGCCCATTCGTGATGTAGCAGAGAAGGCAATCCCTCCACCAGACTAGACCAGCCTGATGGGGGTGGGGACAAAAACCAAATGACGCCGAAAGCAGTGGAAAGTGTGGTGTTCAAGCCCTTTATCTGCTTTTGGTGCCACTCATCCCCCCCACACCCCGCCCTGACTTACCTGAGCACCCTTCATCCAGGCCATCAACATTCTGCCACCTGCCTCGTCTTGCGGTGGCTCCAGCAGCCCCACCTAGATCCCCACATGCATTGCTCAGCCTCCTGCTCTGTTGTAGCAGCGAGCAAGGAGAAGTAGGCAGTGGCTATGCAGGCTCCTGGATGAGGTTTCTGGAATCAATGTCCTGAGACCAGGCAGAATGTTGATGGCCTGGCTGAAGGGCCCTCAGGAAAGCTAATGCTCCACATCTTCCGCCTTGTTTCATCCTCCACTTCCGCACTGCTTCCATTCGTCCTCCATTCCCCCATCCCCAACCTAGCTAGATTTTTATGACTACCTCACCCCATCTCATGGGCGGGGCTTAACTGGGCCTTATTTTGGGGGTAAGGCTTATTAAGGTTGCATGCGTGAAAATTGGGGTAGGGCTTGTTTTTGGAGAGGTCACATTTTTGGTGAAACACGGAGACTAAGCAGGGCACATAATGGCTATCTGTGTAGCACGTTAATGACTGCCACTCCATCCCATTTGATGTGTATTTCCCATTGTATGTCTGTTTACAGTCTTGAATCTCTCCCTATTCAACAAATGCAAAATACAGACATGAATTTAGTTATTGCAAGTAACTCAGCACCAGGATGAGGATTCCCAAGAGTGGAGAAGTAGTTAAGAGACAAACAAAAGCAGAAAGTTTGAAACATTAGTCTTTTCACTTTCTGACTGTCCCCAGCATTCAAAAGAGAAAGGAGAGTGAGAAAAGGAAGTCATAGGGAGATTATGTGATTTCCCACTTAGTGACAACTTGATTTATCAACAGACCTAATCCCAACTGTAGCTGCTAAGTAAGGATTACCACCTCTGATATACAGCTTTGATCAGCTGTGCAGCTCCACATATATAGGATTCTTAATTGAAGCTGATAGTAGCAAACACTATTTTCAAAGCAAGGTACTAAATTATCACCTTTTTAGTCTTGATCTGAATACATTTTGGCACATATGTGTCTCATTGCTGTATATCAGAATCTGATAAGTTTTTAATATCTGCAATTTTATTTTCTTATGTAGAACATTATGTAGTAAAGCACAACACCTTTAAATAGTCTAGAAAACTATCTGCCTACGAATTTTATTGTAAAACCATAAGGAAACGTGAATTCTACTAAGTTATATATAGAATTATTTTTATAAGTTATTTTTAATATGATGAATGCACAGCATGTACTAGGAAGTAAACTATGCATAGTAGACTATATGACTGAATATATTAAGGTTTGTACTTTTAAGAAGCAACACCATTAACTAAGATTTGACTGGCATCATTGAAATGATTACGCACTAAGTTGAGTGTAATATCATAATATTAATGGGTTGCAATTCAGTGGTTAATATTCACATTTTTGTCATTCTTATTAGGTTTATTTAGCTCGAAAGGAAGGCTTCTCATCTGGCTACATTTCTTGGAAGTTTGAATGTGGCTCTGTTGGTCTAAAAATAGACAACATTTCAGTTAGAACAACCAACCAAACATTTGGGAGTGGAAGAGTAAAGTGGACACTGCACTCTGGAAGCATTACAGTTGGTGTTAATGGAGGTATATATAATATTTAATAACTATTTACAATCAGTGCAAAAATATTAAAAAATAAGATTGTGATGTATTACAATGTATCCAATGCTAACAATACATCATGTTTATCAATTTTTAATAAAACACGAACAAGTCAAATGTGTCATTTTTCAGAATAGCGTGAGAAAAAAACTAACAAATCAGAGACTAGAACTTCAAATTTTCTTGGTTTATACGGCAACTCTAATAATATTTGCTTAGAAGGTATCTCTACTTGTGAATCTGATTCCAACCTGTAGCTGGATTCTCATATATATTTCATAAATATTTGAATATAGTGGGATTTAATTCTGGTTAAATATTGTGAGAATTACATGTTACAAATAAATGTATATAATTCTGCATTTGTTTAAAACATATTTGTCTCAAGAATTATTATTTTTTACTAAGTATAGGTAATCCTTGACTCACAATCATAATGGAACCTGCCCATTATGGTTAAAAGTCTCATTTAACTGTTAAATGACTGTCTCATTTAATGACTCTCATTCCTGCTCTGCAGATATAATCATTAAGTGAATGCATGGGTTGTTAAGCAGATACAGGTGCCATGGGAGATCTAGTGCAGGCCCTGCCTGAAGCTTCCCAATGCCATCCTACTCCCTGAACACCTGTGCTCTCCCCCTCAGGATCTCACATGCTCCTCCCCATCTCTGTCACCCATCGCTTACCCATTGCCCACTAAACTTTTATTATAAATCTCCATCTGCACATTTCATAGATCACACTAACAATGAGAACAAGCTGCCTTCTCTTTGGCATAGCTAGACTGTGGCCCAGCAACAAGTGCTATTTTCATAGTGGCCCTAATGAATTAAGGGTGCTTTAAAACAGTGTTAACTTCCAGAATGAAGGAATGTGTCTTGGGAAGAAAACAGCTTGTTTTTTTCTTCACTAGTGCTTTTTACTTGTATGCACACCACAAAGCAACCTTTGAATGAGAAGCATTGGAGGACAACGCAGGACATGCTGACCTTTGCTGGTTTTGCTGCTTTCTTTTGTCCTGGGAATGACAGTGGTGGAAAAGAGGCAACTTCTTCATCAATGCTTCATGCTTCCTCGTATGCCTGCTGCATAGCTGTCTGTCTTCTGTCTAATGAGAAGCATTGGGAAAAGATTACAAAGGGATAGAAAAAGAGGCTAGATGCTGCAAGGAGGGAAACAAAGATAGGAGAACTTTGTTCCAACATCACTTTCCTGCAGCCTCTAATCTCTCATGTGCTTTGACCTAAAAACTATTATTTTCCCAGAGCTTCTAGCATGGCTGGGCTAGAAAGAAAGACATTGCAGAAGAAGAGAGGCTGTTCCATTCCTAGCCCACTCTGCTAAGCTGCATTGCTAGATAGTATCTCTGGCTTGCTCCAAAAAGGGTGCTTACTCTGGGTCAGGTGGCCTAGGGATGGAACAGTTTGTTATTCTTCCCCAGTGTAATCTGCGGAGGTTCCAGAAGGTCTACCATAAAAGGTAAATGAGCCATTGGTGATGGAGCTGGGAAAATGCGTGAAACCCGAAAGTAGGCCTAGTGGGGACCCAGTGGGTGAAATAGAAGCAATAAAAGCGTAGGTGCTGCAGCATCCCTGTGATCATAAGCATAGAAAAATCAATCCTACTCTATACAAGTAGTCCTTGACTTATACCAGTTCATTTAGTTGTCATTCAAAGTTAGAATAGCACTGAAAAAATGATTTACAACTGTTTTTCATACAATCCCCCTTATCATGTGACCAAAATTCAGAAGCTTCGCAGCTGACTTATATTTATGTTTGCAATGTCCTGGGAGGTCACATGATCACCTTTTGTGACTTGACAAAGTCAATCAGGAAGTCAATTAACTTAACAACTATGTTGCTAATTTAACAACTACAGTGATTCACTCAATAACTGGCAAGAAAGGTCATAAAATGGGGTAAAATTCACTTAACAACTGTCATTTAGCAACAGAAATTTTGTGCTGAATTGTGCTTACAATTCAAAACCACCTATATAGGATTTTTATGAATAATTCTGTTCAACTTTTAATTGGCTATAGATTAAATCAGGCATTTTAATTTAGCCTACTTACATTTTGTAAATCCACTCATTATTCAAATGCTTTTTACTACCAATTTAAGTTTGTTCTGAGTAGGGAAAAAAGGACCTCTGCTTGTCTCTCTTATCATATAAATTAATTTTGATCAAGTATTTTCAAGTACAGATAATCCCTGAGTTACAACAGTTTATTTAGCAGCCATTCGAAGCTGTGGCCTAGCCCCCTCCAAGTACTTACAACGCAGTCCTGAAGTTACAAATGTTGCAGCACCACAACTGTCATTTACACTTACCAGTGACAGCAGAAGCACTGAAACATTCATTCTGCCTATTCCCCCACCCCGCCAAATCTCCACAGCCATTGAGCCTGTGAAGACTCACTTACTTTGTGATGATCTAGTGAGCCATAGGTTCTGATGCCTGCTTCTGTGCATTTGCAGAAAACAGAAGTGTAAAATAGTGAGAGATTACAAAGAGGCCTTTGCTCTGATCTTGCTACTGATTTTGCATGATCTGGCACTACAGTAGTTTAGGCCTCTGTTCTCTGCAAAACAGAGGCCTATACCAGATCCAGCCAAAAAGTGTTTGTAAGCTGACAAGTAACAACTACTGGGACAGCAAAATCGAATTGCTTAAAGCCTCCCACCAGCTTGCAAACCTTTTTGCAACGAGACTGCAGCAGGCAAAGAAATCTTGGCAGACAAGAGACAGATCTCCACAAGGTAAGTGACCAGGCACGGCAGGATGGGGAAGGAATATGAGGTACCCTAGGGGTTTGGGGGAGGCCTTGGGTGGTCTTAAGCAGGTGGCCTGTTCCATCGCTAGACCCCTATGGCCTTTTCCACCCTGAGATACTTCATGTGCAGTTAAAGACCCATGCATTCAATTAGCAAATGCATAGGCAAAAGCAGGGACTGATTGCGGTCAAGTTATGCAATTCACTTTTAATAATCCTCTGGTTATAAATGTAATTGGCAAGCTCCATTACATTTGTAACACGAGGACTACCTATAGTATCTATAAAACAACTTTTTTTCCTGAACTTTCTTCTCCCCATTTGAAACCTTTGTCTTTAATTAATTGTATAAAAATTTAGAAATTCCTAGGGACATTCTGTAACATTTTTCTAGTTTTCATGAATTATTTTCCTCAAATCTTCTGTATTAATATCCATTAGTGCAACTTGATTCTCTTCTTTAAGGATATTGTGTTTTGCATTTTCTAAGTTACTTCCTACTATGGAGTCTGGCAACTAGTTAAACTCATTTTCTAGGACCATTTTTGGAACAGTATTACCATACACATGCCAGTTTCCAAATATGTGTAATATACATCAGATGTACTATATGTACTACAGAGTCGAAAAAAGAATGTAGAAAAGAAAATGAATGTCTTTTTAAATACTTAAGATAGTAATCTGATCAGTGATGCGTTTCAAAAAAGTTTACCACCAGTTCGGTGGATGTAGCTTGGTGCGCGTGCTTTATGCACACGCACACACTTTGTGCGCGTGTAAAACATGCGCTTTGCACAGGCACAGAGGCTTTCCAACTCACCTCCTGCAATCTTGCACTCTCCCTTTCACTTCAGCAGTTGGCATGCGGCAATCTGTTGTGCCACGCAAAGCAGCTGCACTTCAAAAGCAGGACATAAAGGTCAGTATGGGAGCCTGGGTGTGCAGGCAGGCCCAACAGCAGAGCATTTTAGAGAACTGGTTCGGTCTCCACTGCTCTTCGGCGCTACTGGTACACGAGAACTGGACCAAACCGGTAGAATACCACCACTGAAGCTGATATGTGTTCTCTTACCTGTTCTATGTCAGCAAATTCTGAAAATGATTTAAACAATTACCATTGTATAATAATTTTCAGAACTCACACACACACACACACACACATATATAGTTATATAGTTATATAGTTTTATATATATAGTTATATGTAGTTTAGTTATAGTTATATATATAGTTATATATATAGTTATTAAAATTGTTTTAACAGGATTTTTTTTTCCATTTCATAGATAAAAGACTTCATTTTTATCCTGATATTTCCAACACAACAAATGTTATGTTAGAAGCTGAACTAAGTGGCGGAGATGGCAATATTGCATGGCAACATGCACAGCTGTTTAGACAAAGTTTAAAGGAAATTGAAGACTGTTTTGAGATAATAATAAAATTGAGTGAACTCTGAATATTAAATTAATATTTTGATGAAACAACAACTTCCAGGAAAAATACTTTTAGAAGTAAATGAATAGGGTAAAAACCCCTCAAGATTCGTATTTTCAGTATCGCCGTTGAAAACAATCAGACTTCACTAATATGAAATGCAGTGAAATTCTACATTACTTTGTTTTCTTGAAATAATGAAAAAAAACATATCAAAGGAAAAAAATGGTATTTTTTTTTTATTAATTCAGAAAGCAATTTTCTGAATACCTATAGCCTATAGAGGTATTCAGGATTGAGAAAGATGCTAAATAATCATGCATAGTATCTGCATATTTCAAATTTTAAAATATAAGTTTTTTTTAATCTGTAAAAAGTTTTTTTTAATTGAAGATTTTAGTCTTAAATCTGGGTTCTGGAATATCATTTTTAAAAACACTTGTGTGATATTTTAACATTTTTGTTAATAATATTAAACTAATAGAAGTATAATACTACTGCTTCTTGTAATTTTTAATTTACTTAAACTTTAGTTTTTAAAAATGAAACTTTGATAAAAGATAATGTTGATGTATATTATGTTATACCTAATTATTTCAAATTTGGTATAGATTCTGATCTAGAAAAATATTAAATATATTATGTTTCTAAAATTTGGACAATTCCAATATAAAGATATGTTACTTAAAAGTGTAGAGCTTCGATAAACTATCTAATTTGAATAAGCATGTTATATTGTATTAATTTGGACTGACACACATTTTTATATAAAGTTGCTATTGTTCTTCATTTTGTTATAGTTACTCAAGAGCATTTTCTATTAGTTTATGCTAATCAATCTTCGATCTCTCCAATCATCAAGTATTTAATTCTTTTCCAATACCTGACTCTTAGTAATTCTGGATATATAAATGTACTCAGTGAGATAAATATACAACTGTATAACTACAAACAAAACAAACTTACGATTTCCATGCATTGTTTCTTGTCCTACCCTCTTCTAGTGCTTCAGAAAATAAATTGCACCCCTCTTTTTTGTGGCAACCTGTCAAGTACTGGAACGCTGCTAACGTATTACCCCTGGTCCTTTTCTCTAAACAGGCAATTTCTGTAACTGTTCTTCATGTTTTTGTCTCCAGACTCTTAATCATCTTAGTTGTTCTTCTTTGCACTTTTTCCCAATCTCAACATGTTTTTTGCAATGTGTAATCAAAGCTGGGTGGAGTATTTGAGATGTGGCCTTACTAAGGCTTTATAAAGTGGTATTAATACTTCACATAATTTTGATTCTGTGTCTCTGTTGATACAACCAAGGATTGTATGAGCTACCGCTCACCTGCTAGTTCATGTAAATGTAAAATCCTTGCTTTTCTCCACATTAAATTTTATTTTATTGGATAGGGCCCTTTGTTCAAGTTTGTCAATATATTTTTAGATCCTGAGCTTGTCTTTTGGGGTGTTGGCTATTCCTACCAGCCTAGTGTCATCTGCAGATTTGACGAATTCCCCTTCTGTTCCCTCATCTAAGTCATTTATGAAGATATTGAAGAATACTAAGCTTAAGACAGAATCTTGTGGTATCCCACTTGCTTACTTTCCTCCATGTAGATGTAATACCATTAAGAACTACTCATTGAGTAACAGTTACAAATCCATCTGGTGAAGATGCTTTCTAGCCCAGGGGTCACCAACCTTCCAGACCTCAGAGACCATTAAATTCATAATTTTAAAACCCATGGACCACTAATATAAATCCAGCGCGCCACTCGCTGAAATGCCTGGACTCCCAGTAATGGATGGGGCCCTTCAGGCACTTAGCTTGGCCACCTGTTTCTGCAATCTTAAACACTCAAAGAGCCATTTGGACCCATTTCCCACAGAAAACAACACTGGGATTTTTCATCTCTCTCTTCTCCCCCTTCTCTCTCTGTCTCTCTCTGTCCCATCTTTTTCTCTCATCTCTCTCATCTCTCTGTTTCACCCTGTCTCATCTTTTTCTCTCATCTGTCATGTTTGTGTGTCTGTCTCTCTCATTCTGATTCTCCGGCACTGTTTGGGTCTCGTGGGTGCTTCTTCAGCCTTTATTGGTCCTGGACCTCAGTCACTTGGGGAGATGCACAACCTGCTTTCCGCCCCAAGACACTTGCCCAACCCGGCTGCAGCTGATGCTCTGCATCGTAATGGGCTCCGGGAGGAGGTGGGGGTGCCTCTCCCCCATTGTGAAGCATGTTGGATAAGCTAAGAAAGTTAAGAAAGTTCAAAACATTCTCAAAGATCCATCTCATCCTGGGAACCCTTTTTTTGAACTATTACCATCTGGCAGATGGTACAGAATAATAAAAACAAGGGCAAATAGGCTGAAAAACAGCTTCTATCTCAGGCCAGTAGCTCTTTTGAATTATGCTGTATAGTGCAATGTTGGTGTGGTGTCGGGGGTTTCCGGTTCAATGTGTGAAGGGTGAAGGATGTGTGTATTTTCATGGTCATGGTCATGATGTGCACTGAAGATGGTGTTTGATTTCGTTGTACGAGGTGCAATGACAATAAAGTAAACTAAATGCTAACTTTAACTGCTGCGCAAGGTGGTGCAAGAACAGTGGGCAGGCCATGGAAGGACCAACAGTGGTATAGAGAAAGGGCTGGGCCGAGCCAGTGTCTAGGGGCAGAGAGAAGGTCGTATGTCTCCTGAGCGACTGAAGTACGCACAGCACCAACAAGGACTGGAAGAAATGCCTATGAGACCCAGCAAGAGATGAAGCTTCACTCCTGCTCTGGAATATGGAACAAAACTCCCATCTCCCGTCCTTACCTTCAGGCCAGGCAAGAAGTGACTGGGAGGGGAAAAGGAGGGGCAGGGCTAGCTAGTGGTGAGTTCAGCCAACAGGAAGCCACAGTAGGGGGACAAAAGAGCCACGGGTTGCCAACATCCGTTGCTTCGGCCCACTTGTGCTGCCACCCCCCACCCTTGTTGCAACAACACCATTACTTCATCCTGGCCATTGAGGGATGTCCTACTTCTTGCACGTTCACCACCTGCAAAGTTGCAAGGTGCACTTATTTCCCTCTATGGCGGTGATTTCCAGCTCCAGCATGAGCTTCCTGGCTGGTCCCAGAGCTCTAGTCACAGGACTGGCCCTTTGGTCATCCCAGAGCAACTCTTCCATCCGGGTGCATTATGGGCCACCAAAACTTTCTCACAGATCACCAGTGATCTATGGATCACCAGTGGTAACTCTGTTCTAGCCCACATTTTTCCAAGAAGTAGGCTGTGGTCTACTCTGTCAAATGCCTTGCTGAACTTTAAGTATACTACGTCCACAGCATTTCACTGGTCTACTAATTTAATCACTTTGCCAAAGAATGACAAGATTGATTTGATCCATTTTTAAGAAACCTGTGCTGGTTTTTAGTTATAACTTCATTTGGTTCTAGATGTTTGCAGATTTGTTTTTTGATTATCTTTTCCAATATCTTCTCAGGTATTAATGTTAGGCTGATTAGTTTGCAGTTTCCTGGGTCTACTTTTCCCCCCTTTTGAAGAAGGAAACCGCATCAGCTGTTTTCCAATCCTTCAGTAATTCCCCAGTGTTCTAGGAATTTTGAAAGATATGTACAGTGATTCAAGGTTTGCTTGCTCTTTTAGAACTCTGGGATGTAATATGTCAGGTCCCGGTGACTTATATTCATCAAGATCAGATAGGCCTTCCCTAACCATTTTTACTTTTTTAAATTTTTACTTCTATTCTTTATAGTTAGGTTTTTGATAGGTTGGGCTAGTTTCTTTTTGCGAGAACACTAATGCAAAGAATAAGTTAAGTTCTACTTTCTCTCTACTGCCTATTTCTTCCTTGTCATCTCTCTTTAATGAACCTTCTGTTTCCTCAACTTTTTGCTTGTTATTTTTTTTTTATAGTTATTTTTTATTATTCTACTGTTCTTGATTCCCTGTACTCTATTGTGCCTATGGTCACCAATGTGGCAAAAGGATGTTTCTCTATCATCCAGCAGGCTCTTGTTCTATTTGATTTCTTTTGTTTTGTAATAGGAGTTATTTTGTAAGTGACCATTCTAAATATAATCTCATTCTTGAAATTGAAACTGAAATACACCAAAATAGCTGACAACCCTAATACATTGAACAATACTGTTCCCATTATTTGATGCATTGTATTGGAAACCCCCCCCCCACAAAATTTCTATATAAGAGATTTAATACTCAAGGAAAAAGTCAACTAGAATCAGTATTCTGATAGCATTTTTCCTCTATGGAATAATTTGAATCTACCAAACATCTCCTGAGGATATCTTCAGAAATGTATGTTGAATAATGATTTATTCTATGACATAATTATTAAAAATCCATCAAGTTTCACTGTGGAACATTAATATAAATAACCTTTGTTTTTCATCCATAAATGATTACTCACCATTTATAATAATATCACTTACATAACCCTTATGTTAGTACAATACCATTACATTATACAGTGATGTAACTGTACTAACATAAGGGTTAAATAATAATTATCTGCAGGTAAATAATTATCTGCAGGTATTTACTGTGATTCAAACATTACACAAAATATATTCATAATCTATTAGGACATATTTAGACTAGACGCAACTTAAGCCAGTTTTGCTAGTTCTTTATTTATGATGTTTACATAGTTTTATTAATTTATAATATGACAAAAAAAATACAAAAGCAGATATTAATTATAGAGAAATTAGGAAAGGAAAAAGAAGTGGATAGTGGAAAGCAAGGGAAAAAGAAAAAAAAGCACTGACTTCTGACTCCTGTGCTGCAGTAAAATAAGGCATTAAGATCTATGCTCAACTTTTTATTTTTTCATAATAGAAACTAACCATTTCTATCACAACATATCTATCTAGTTCAGGAGTCACCAAACCTGGCAACTTTAAGATTTGTGGACTTCAACTCCCAAAATTGCCTGGCCAGCATGACTAGCTGAGGAATTCTGGGAGTTGGAAGTCCACAAATCTTAAAAGTTGCCAAGTTTGGAGACCCCTGATCTAATTGATAAAACCCAAAATCAAAGTTTCATTTTTTTCTACCTCAAGCACTAAGTTTAGAAGTGGTTTCCAAGTCGAAATAAAAGTATTTGTACTTTTTTCTTTAATCAAATCACTCAATTTAGCCAGCTCTGCTAACTCTGCTAACTGCTAACAGTTTTTGTAGCCATTTATCCATTGTGGGGAGGGGCGTTGGTTCTTACCTGATACACCCGTTCTCTTTGAGCTGCGAAGAGCATCCAGTAGTGGGAGGTGCTTCAGTCTCTGCATTCATAGGCTGAGCTTGAATTGAGGAACGCTCCTCCTCCTCCACGTGACTCCTCCACAGCGTTTCCCAGTTTTGCGAAGACGAGAGGAAAAGAATCCATGCTCTCATCTTAACTACCTAGTGGTTCATTGGCCGAAACAAGACACCACCAGACGGTGAAATTTGGGTGTGGCTGGATCCTCTTCGCAGCTCAAAGAGAACGGGCGTATCAGGTAAGAACCAATGCCCCTTCTCCTCAGAGCTGCTCAGAGAATCCAGTAGTGGGACACACCAAAGCTGGGCCTGTCCTACGGGAGGGAATCCGTCTGGTCCGGAACCTCCTCGGGATCTCTAAGAACCCGCTGCAGAACCCGTCTAATGAAGGAAGCCTCTGCTGAGGCAAACACATCGATTTTATAGTGCCTAATAAAAGGTGATGGGGATGCCCAAGTCGCCGCCCGGCAGATTTCAGTTATTGGTGCCTGAGTGGCCCAAGCTGCCGAGCTTGCCGCACTCCTGGTAGAATGTGCCGTTATACCTCTGGGCACTTGCATAGCCTGTGACTGGTATGACCTAGCTATTGCTGCTCTTATCCAACGGCCTATGGTGGGCGGTGACACTTTGTGACCCTGCGTTTTGGGCTGAAAGGAAAGGAATAAGGCCTCTGATTTTCTGAATGGCTCTGTGCACTTGATGTAGATTCGCAGAGCTCGTCTCACGTCAAGTGTGTGCCATTGCCTTTCCCTTTCCTGCGACGGCCTGGGACAAAAATTTGGAAGGATGAGTTCCTGTGCTCTATGGAAAATGGAATTGACCTTGGGCAAAAAGGTGGGATCGGGCTGGAGGACCACTCGATCAGCATGAAATACGCAAAGGTCCCTTCTAATGGATAAGGCCACGATTTCCGAGATTCCATGGGCGGATGTAATAGCTACAAGGAAAACTACCTTATATGTCAGGAACTGGAGAGTTGATTCCCTTAAGGAAGTCTAGAATTTGGGCAACAGAAGGAGAAATTGGGTTAATTTGGAACTTGTTACACCATTTACAGAAAATGGCCCATGTGGCATTGTAAATTCGAATGGTTGAGGGCCGTCTGGCAGCTAGAATAGTA